GGCCGATAGAAGTTTGTCTCGACCGCTTTGGTGAGCGATCAAATAGCTCTAGTACTGAATGGTCTGGCAAAGTGTTTTGCGCCAATATGCTTAATGCGAGCGAGACTAGATTTCCGTAATACTTTTTTGTAGGACTTGGCGGCTTGGTTGTAAGTCTTGGAGCTAATATCCGGAGTTTTGCGGCTTAGAGCGTCAACTCAGTGTAAGTACGCTAAATGCTTGCGCTTTTTAGCTTGGGCGCATTCAACGTTAAACCATGGGCGAGCTTTGCTACCGGTGGGAGCATCAGAGAAGGGGATAAATATTCCATAACTTGACGCAACACAAGGGTTATCGCATCCGCGTAGCTCGACAGATCCTCAGAAGAGAAACAAACCTCCCGCCAAGGATAGGATGCAAAAAAGTGTCGCATCTCATCTCAATCAGCTGACTTATACCGCCATATTTGTCGTACACCTTTGGACTCGTAATCAGAGGGAGAATATGAGGGAACAGATTTCACTAGACAGTGGTCAGATGTAGCCAAAGGGGAGGTAAGCTGTACTTCATACCTGTCTGGTTCAGTAGTCAGCAGAAAGTCTAAGCAATTGGCTGTTTGACCGTCTACATCGGGTACCCTAGTTGTTTCCTTTACCAGCTGAAAAAGACTTAGTGTCAAGGCAAAATTCTACGCTTCCTTTCCAGCATGTATGGCATGGGAGCAGTTAATTTGAGTCTCCGTCAAGAAAAGTAGGTGCGGCTACTCACTCTTAAGATGGCGATGGACTGCGCTGAGATAAAAGTGCAATCCTCGAATTTTAGTGAGAGGACGTGCACTATTTAGCCATACTTTTCTTTTTACGATACATATTGGGAGTAAAGAGTGAAGAAGGATAGAGAATGGCAGTTAAACAAGGCGTTGCATTAGCAACCAAACGAAATTATCGGATCTACTGCGCCCATAGGTACTTGATCTGGAGACTGCGGGGACGCTCGAACCCCGCAAAGCTCACCATCTAGCCACCCTGGGATTTTTCGCCCGTTGACAGGGCAGCCTTTAATGTGTAGCTAATTCACCACTTGGGCCTTCACCTACCTGCGGCCGGCCAGTGAAACACCGTGTTTCAGATCCCGCTACCCTCCACGACCAATCACCCGTTACAGCAACAACTGACGCTTCGCACCCGGTTCACACACACAACGCTACTGTTCAGACCCATTCTCCATATTTCTTCACCAAGCATCATGTCGGAACACGACAACGTCATTTGGCGACAAGACTTTGCATTGGTGGGTGGTAACCGAAAAGCCAGCGGCAAAAACCTACCACCGGAATTGGTGGTGCTCGTTTAGCACTACCCGGGGGACACGTGTAGGGAGTCAGATTTCAAGTATTTTCTACGGACGCGAGCAGTCTTATCCCCAATGTAAAAACTGTTTATTTTATGTAAATACGAGTATACACCCACCATATTATTCGTAGGCGTATTTGCCTAATATACCTACAAATATTTGTATTGAATTCATAAACAATCTCTTTCTTTAATATCATTTTATTGTCTGCGTTACCCAAGCTCAGCTCGCGTTCTTATAATGTAGAGGCCATTCTATATTATAAGAAGGCAAATTTGTATTATTGAGGTCACTGATTTCCACATAGACGCTGTATCTTTTTATCACTCTCAAACTTTGGACGACTTTGTTTTTAATAACGAATTTATACTTTCGAATAAACTCAAAATCAGCTATTAAGTGTAATATAAAAGAAAATGAATAAATATAATGCAATATTAGTATACTATAATAATAACACAAAGCCGTGGTAGCTCAGCGATTTAGCGTTCGCTGTAAATTCCACAGTACACAAGCAACATGGGATTCAATCCCCGCCGGTGTCAATGAAATTGTTAATTGCAAATTTAAGCGCTAAGTTATCACGTGCTCGGCGGTGAAGGAAAATATCCTGAGGAAACTTGCATGTCTGAGAAATAAAAAATAAAAATTTATCGAAAACATGTGAAGTCACAAAGCAGTACAGTAGAACAGTAGACAATTCCTTGCCCTAAACGATCTCTCAGAAGTGAGAGATGGCCTGTGCCCAGCAGTGGGACGTATATAGGCTGTAATTTTTTTAATAATCTTTATATATAAGAATTACCTGTCACATTGCTTGTCCGCGTTGAACTCTTAAACTACTCAACTGATTTCAATGAAATTTTGCACACTGTTTGCGGTTTGGTCCAACTTGAGACATAGGATAGTTTTTATCCCGATAAGTGAACCTCAAATTTGTTATTGCTAATCTCAGGAGTTTTTTAGGAAAGCAAATGGTCGTCGGAAAGGGCAGAACAACGTCTGCCTGGTCAGCTAGTAACATATAAAAATATACTCTATGGTATTATTATATGACAGTATTGTTAAGGACTTCTCTATTAAAGTCAATATCACCATTGCCTCATTGCATTGCCTCATTGCATAAGCTAACTGCTTTATATACTATCTAATTTTTGCATTGTTAAACGAATTTTGAGTTATCGAATTTGGTTACTATACGAAAAGTTCAGCATATAACAATATAGATCTCTATTTTTCTTTCTGGAAATGTTCGGATATTTTAAAAGATATTGAATCTTAAAATAGCTATAGAAAAAAAATCGAAATGTAACTTTAAATACAAACAGCCTGGACTCAAGCTACTTTACCTATAAAATTTGGTGGTATTGGTGTGAGAAATCTTTCTAGCGTTGCCTTGTCTGCCTTCCTTGCTTTCGTGCATAGTGTCAGTGACTTATGTAACATAATTTCAGATAATAAAGTAGACCTGTGCTTTAGTACGGAGGCAGGGTAGACATGGCAAACGTTCTTCCCTAGTGAAAATGTTCCACTGGAAGTTAACCAACAAAAACAGTGGGATATTCTGTTGGTACAGAGCGTGGAGAAAGATTTATTTCATAATATCCATAGTGACCATGATAAGGCACGCCTTCTAGCTATTTCGACTAAGTCACTGGTTACACGCTTTACCATCAAGTAATCTCGGCACATTACTTGATGGGGAAAGCTTGCGCATCGCCGTAGGAATCAGACATGGAGCAGCGATTTGTCAACCCTATCAGTTCCCTGTGGTAGCAGCGTCAACAATTTTTGGCTCCACGGACTTTCATGTACGAAAAGTGCTGGTAGGTTTTGACGGCATGGTTCTTTGAACGATGTCATCCGAAGGGCTCTTGTCTCTATAAATCTTCCCTCGGTTTTAGAGTCTTGTGGAATATTTAGAGACGATGGCAGGAGACTCGATGGTATGACATTGGTCCCTTGGGAGAAACGTAAAGCCCTAGTGTGGTATGCTACTTGCGTAGACACTCTGACGGCCTCTCATATCAGGGGTACCTCGTTTAGAGCCGGGGTGGCATCAAAAGCAGCTGAACTGAGTAAGTGGCGCAAATATGAGTCTCTGAGAGATGACTACATATTTGTGCTATTTGCTATAGAGTTTATCGGTCCGTGGAGTCCACGTGCGGTGAAGTTCCTAAAGGAACTACATCCGCGGCTGGTCATTGCTGCTAGTGATAAGAGGACTGGCTCTTTTTTCACTCAAAGGCTAAGTATAGCCATTCAGCAGGAAACGCAGCCAGCATTCTTGGCACGATCCTGCGGGGAGTAAGACTGTGTGATAATTATGTTACTAGTTTTAGTGTTTTTATAAATATATTTTTTATTTATTATAAAATAAAATTTTAAACTAAATAAAATATTTTATCCTATCTATTAGTGCATAATAAGATAAGATCTCTTATCATAAATTGTATTATTTGAAATAAATCTCTTATATTAAACAAATACCATTTATAACATTTGTAAATAATGATTTCACTTTGATTAAAACTTGAACTTCTGAAGGATCCTTGTTCAGAAGCATTGACAAGATTAATCGCATACCTTCAAAAAAGCTCAAGCTCTATTTTGTTTACCTAGCTATCGCTATATTATAACATTCCAACTTGTGTTATTTCGTTACTTATTAGTGGTTGTTGATACGGCATATACCTCTGTATTGTTTTCTAAATATTTTTACTGTCCTAACCAGGAGTGTTGTGCCGAAAACAAGTTAATGATATTACATTTTATAAAATATAATATAAGTAATTGCCATTTAACGCCCTCACAAGATGAATTCACTGTTTTAAAAAATTATAAACCGAATATGTCATATTGTAAGAAAAAACTTTCAAATGCAAGAAATGATAAGATTAGGTTATATTCATTTTATTTCTTAAGTAATATTGTGTGTGGTGATAACTTTGTATGTCTTTGTGCTACTATAATTATGTTAAAATCAAATACATTATATATTAATACCCCTAATGGCTAGCAATAAAGGGTTCAAAGTTGGTTTGTACAATGCAGGTTCTCTCGGAACAAAAAGTGAAGAGTTTATTACATTAATGAATAAGTTATCGGTTGATATCATGGCCATAAACGAAACATGGCTGAGAGCTGGAGAGGATGAACACGCACCAGTGATTCCGCAATATAAATTCCGGCATACTCCACGTCCAACAATTGTAAAGTCAGGGCGAGGTGGCGGTGTGGGATTCTACATTAAAGAAGGAATTAATACACATACCTATATACACCCTGTCGATCCAAAACATAACATGGTTGAGCAAATGTGGCTAACATCCACTATAAGTGGTAAAAAAGTGGCGTTAGGTACAGCTTATAGGCCCCCCTGGCTCGATGTAAATCTATTTCTAGATGCACTAACTGACACAATAACTTGCATGTCTTCCTTTGACCACATCATTATATTAGGCGATTTTAATATTAACTTGTTGCTTAACAATCATCATAACACAAAAAAATTACACTCTTTTTTGAATACACTCAGTCTTACGCAACTTGTAAACTCGCCAACACATTTTACCGAGTTAAGCTCATCCCTGATCGACATTATCTGTACAGACCTGAGCGCACGTCATGTCACCGTGGAGGCAACAGGGACACTACATGGGCATGCTATGGTGTTTTGCGAGTTCGACGTATACCGAGATAAACCAACCCACAAATGTATTTATATGCGGCCAATAAAAGACATTTACTATGATAATTTAAAAAAAGATCTGAATTCTATTCGTTGGGACTTAATAGCACAATTACCTGACGTAAATCATATTCTACATACATTTAACAGATCTGTCCTCTGTGTCTTTGATACTCATGCACCGTATAAGAAATGCGTATTCAAATCTCGACCCTACCCATGGATGACACCTAACCTGAAGTTCATGATATCTTTAAAAAATAAAGCCTTGTCTGATTTCCGTAAAACTAAAGACGTTACAAAAAAGGAATATTTTAAAACTTTAAATTCATTAGTAAATAAGACAATATATTTCGAAAAAGTTGCTTACTTTAATAATAATATCAATAGCCAAAAAAGTCGACCAAAACATCTATGGAAAAGTCTTAAATCTATTATATTACCTTTAAAAAAACCTAAAGAGCTGCCCTTACATTTCACTGACGCTGAAAAAATTAACGACCATTTCCTAAATATTCCCGGTAGTTCAAAGGTTAATCTGTCTCAATTAACTTACTTTGAATTTAATAAATATTGTCAAAACAGTTTTAGCTTAGAACCAACTACTGCAGAAGCCGTGTTTAAGGTAATCAAGAGTTTACATTCCAATGCTCAAGGATACGACGAAATAACACTGAATATGCTGCTTTTAACATGCTCTGACACATTGGATGTTATTACAGCCTTAATAAATACATCTTTCGCGACTTCTCAGTTTCCTGAACTATGGAAGATAGCTGTAGTTCGACCAATTCCTAAAAATAGTAATCCATTAGATATCAAGGATTTAAGACCTATAAGCATTTTGCCGTGTCTTTCCAAGGTTATAGAAAAAATTGTATGCCGCCAGATAACAGATTACATCGAAAAACACGACATATTGCCACAGACACAATCTGGGTTCAGAAAAGGTCGAGGAACTGTATCCGCTTTACTAGATGTAACAGACAATATTCTACAAGCACAGGATCAGGGATTGTGCACGTTACTTGTATTATTAGATTTCTCACGAGCATTCGAATCAATTAATATTTCTCTGCTTTTATCAAAATTAAGCTACTATGGATTTGACATTAAAACGGTTAAATGGTTTAGCAGTTATCTCACTAACAGATTACAGGTTGTTGAATTAAGAAAACCTGACGGCTCACCGACACGCTCAAAGCTTGCGACGATTAACAGGGGAGTACCACAAGGATCAATTCTAGGCCCAATATTATTCATCCTATACTCTGCGGATATCACTAAACATATATGGAAATGCAAATTCCACATCTATGCTGATGATATTCAAGTTTATATATCTTTTAAAGCGGAAAACATGAACACAGCCATAATAGAATTAAATGAGGATTTACAGCGAATCGCCACATAGGCTGAGAACAATAGTCTTGTTCTTAATCCGGCTAAAACTAAGTACTTGTTGATAGGCCACAAAAAAGGACTAAATACAATTCAAACCCAGTCGACTGCACTAGCTCCAATGCTTCTTGGCATATCAATTGAGCGCGTGTACGAAGCTCGGAATCTGGGTCTGAACATGGATGCAGGGTTGCGATTCGAGAATCATGTGGCAGATTGCGTGCGAGCTTGTTTTTACAGATTGAAGACACTCTACAAAATTAGACCGTACCTCAGTGTCGAACTACGTGAACAGCTAGTAGAAACGCTCGTGCTCTCGAGGCTGAACTATGCAGACACTGTTTATGGGCCCAGACTGCTAGCTCGTACACAGCGACTAGTACAAAGGGTTCAAAACGCCTGTGCTAGGTTTTGTTATAAAATTCCTACGCGTAGTCATTTAACACCGTTTCTTAATAAACATTACGTATTGAAGATGAAATCTAGACGCAAACTCCACCTGGCATGCCTTCTCTTTGGTGTCGTGAATTATAAAAATCCACCATACTTACACGACAAACTAGCTTTGGTCGCGCGAAACAGACAAGGTAACAACAGACTGTGTTCTCAACAATTATCTGTGCAGCGTCACAGAACAGCAGCTTTCAGGGGTAGTTTTAGATATGCGGCTACAAAATGTTGGAATAATATTCCACCTCCAATCAGGAGTTTAAAAAATCTCCACCAGTTCAAAATCAAGCTAAAAAAATTTCTTATTGATGCACAAATACAACATGGCAATATCAACCGAGAAAGCTCCTTCCTATAACGCATTGTACGGTTATTAACAAAATTGTGTGTATATTTTTCTCATTTTTGTTTATTATTACTATTACTAATCCATTTTAATTGATAATTGATAGTTGTTGTTACCACACACAATTATGTATAAGGTTATATTTAATGTCTTATATTGTACTTCTTTTTTTTTTTGCTGCTTTTTGCTTTATTTTAAATTTTGTGTTATAATTATATAGAAGGTTTAGGCTTTTTTCGTTTTATCGAAGGACTAAACTACACGTAACAGCTGTGCTACGTTCGTGACGCCAATGAATAGGTTTCTTGGCTGAAAATCAGCGCTGTGTGAGGCCATACTCACACAACACATGCTGAGCCAACCCCTTTTCGGCACAATGCGACCTTTTTTATATATATCAATATGTGCTTTTACTTTCATGTGTATGAACTGCCTGTGCTGAATAAATGTTTTTTCTATTCTATTCTATTCTATTCTTTAAGTGCTTGAATCTTATCAAACGTGAAATTTTATTCTGGTCCAGTTTTATTGAAAGGCTCTTTGCGTTGACATCAAAGAACAGGTAGGTTTTGAAGATATTAGTTTTTCTTTATGTTTTATAAATAGGTTAGTTTTTATTTCTATTGTTTTGCGTTGATAAAAGCGAGCGAGTTTTTTTTATAGAATGAAGGTAATAAATGAGCACACGGTCCGTTAGATAGAAGGTCGGCCATAGACATCAACATCTACTCGATGAAAAATCAAAATGCAAACTCGTTACCATTGATAACTAAGAAGATACAGAACACAGCAGCGAAAGCTACTATTTTACGCTGTTATTTTGTAAGAGTGTGCTACTTCCCCAATAGAGCTAACCCATTCGGGCTACGCTATAGCTCTGCCATAGACTCCCGTTTGGTATGTAGGTATGTAAGTTTTTTAAATGTTGGTTTTGTGGCGGCACTGTCATCGCGGCACAATCGAAACGCACTGAAGCCTAAATCATGCTATCAAAGTTTCAAAGTACAGCGAGTATATACGGAACCCAACATTTAGTTTCCATAACGGACAAGATTGAATCGCCGGAGGAAGCGCGATTAGCGATTAGGGCGACTAGCGCCCTATCGACTCACTTCACTTCAGCGGTCGAAGAATGCTCCCGTAAGGTTCGAGTGTCGAGTGATCGGTACAGGAAGCTTCCGACAGCGCTAAAATCTTAATTCGGCTACGTTCTCTACAAAACGAGATTAAACAATGCATAGCCGAATTAGAAACCGATAAATGGGAAAACCTCTTTGAAGGAATAGATATAAAATAGCTGTAAAATTAGAGCAAAATCCTACCATATCGCCTTTCATGAGACTAGACTATCCCGATCTTGCCTTAGATGATCTCAAAAGAGCTGATGCCTATCGGACAGCCTAAAGAGCTAATGTACCCCATACAGCGTACCAAGAGATCCCACTCACCTATTAGAGGTAGAAGCACGTAGGTCGAAACGTAGGTCTGCGTTACTGCCAGCGGGCGAACCACTCGATACTGTGACTGTTGACGAAGTCACAGAAACCACAAAAAGTCTTAAGAATAGATCAGCACTTGGGCCAGATGGCATCAGCAACAAGGTTATCAAATCTTTTGCGGCACCACTAATTTACATCCTCCTTTTAAATTTAATTTTAACTCACTGGCCGGTTGATATTGGCCATGGTAAATATTATCACGATAAAACCTTTGGCTGTCAGTAAAAAGTAATATTAAATATAGTACAGACTAGCCCTCAGCTAGCGTTTTTAGTCAGTTTTAGTCGAGAATTGCGAAGAAGTTTGTATTTATGCATAATTGATTTAAACTAACTTAGGTTATCTATAATATAAAAATGAATCGCTGAATGTGTTGCTAAGCGCAAATCTCGAGAGCAGCTAACCGATTTCGCTAATTCTTTTTTTATAATATTCCTTGAAGTACGAAGATTTAAAAACTTGGCTGAAAAAGTCTAAAAAACAACATTCTTCTATATTCCCATACAAAAGATTCGTAATAATACTTAAAAGTCAATTTGAACTTTAATAACATATAATAAAGTTTAAATGTTAGTGGAGGGGTTCCGGGAAGGCAAAACAATTGAGTGACGTTAGTATCGTTGGGGTTTGGTTGTAGTGGCTGTAGTTGTCTTCTTGCCCACAGAACATCTGACTTCGAATGAAAGTGTTAACGAAGGTTTTCATAGATCCCCAAATTTGTAACAATACGTATTTATTATTAATTTTACTTGGCAGAGCCAAGCCATCTATATTTTGGTTAGAGAACATATGGGTTGTTATGGGCATTGTACAATTAACTTACAGTAGGTGGCGCTCGTATAGTACTGGCGCAGTTGTAAGTCATATATCATTCAATATCAATGAATGCATTGTCATTCCTAATAATATAACTCTTCCAAATTTAAAACGAAGTTACCACAATTATTTCTTCTGCGGCTGCAACGCGCCGGGTACCGGCTAGTATAATATAAAAAAATATGATTTCTTTTGTTTTGAATAGGTAATTTGATACACGTATTTGATATTATTTTGAAATATACAATAGACATGTAGGCCTTTAATTAAAACTTGACAATACAGTTAATTGGAAGGGAGTGGGAATTTAATATATTTTCTTACAATTTCAGTTAAAATATTTGTTATATCTGTTTATATAAAAAATATAATGCTTCAAAAATTTTAATAACGGCGGTGCTTTTTTAATATTTATTTTAAAAAAAAATGTGAGTCAGTGTGTACGCACTGTTTAGTGCGAGAGTTGCAGCAGGCTTATTTTCTGGTGAGTGTAGAGAACCGGAGACCCTTTTTATTAGAATTCCATCGCAGTTCTTCTTACTGGAAAGGAAGAATTCCATCTTAGTCCTGAAGGTAGACAAAGCATCTGCATTATGATTCCTAATTGCGAATAAATGTAGATGTCTATGGGCTACAGAATTCACTTACCATCAGGTGGACTGTGTGCTCCTTTGTCACCCTCATTCTATAATAAAAATTAAAATGCAGATGCATATATAACATAACCGTTACCGCAGTCTATTAAAGTCCTCTGCAGAATATAGGCCTTCCCCATAGATTGCCTAATAGGGGGATATTTGCCATCGCTGCCAAGCTTGGCAAGCGGGTTGGCAACTGCAATTCTTATTTTAAGTCATTATTAGGATAACGCTGCTGCCATCTCCTGATTTGTTTCCCTCTATCGCCCCTTACAACACCCACGGGATGAAATGAGGTAGTGGATATAGATTATAAAGATATTAACAAATCTCCTGACATCGTATGTTATATGTCTCGAATAGTTATGGCAAATTATAAAATAGGTCCCGCATGTCGTTTACATATTGGTTAACGATTTATTGTGGATCGCAAAAGGACATTTGGTACAATATAACACTTTTAGATTTAAAAAAAAAACTGGTAATATAAATGTTTACTTGTGACAATTTTAGCTTTATCTTTATTTTTCAACCATGGGTCATACGAAAAAATTTAAATTGATTCGGATCGAGGGTCTGTCACGATATTTGACGAGGGTACAAGAAAACGAACTACTTGTTAGAAATTGTTTCTTTTTGCAATATATTGCAAGGGGGAGCCGATTACTTTTCTCCTCGAATCACATATTACGAAAGTAATATACATTTTAGTAGGATTATTTGTTTAGCAGTGGTTAGGGATATACATTTTCTTTAGCAAGTGGCAATTCCGCCAGTATGCGCTGCACTCTGCTAACTAACGAAAGAAGCTGCCAAGATCAGTAAATACCAAAAGTATAAAATGTGACCTCAGCAAAATAGCAGCACTATGATAAACAACGAGACAAAAAATAAGGATCTAATCAGTGCATGGCAAACCCGAGCAGGCAAGCTTCCCCAATCCGCAATTGGTTACATGTATCCGGTATTGGCAGCCATTATTATCTTCAGTCATGTTAACGATTATGACTCCTCACGTGACGGCGCCTAAATCTAAGATAAATCTAAGACGAGGACTTGTGACGTACATACCTGGATCTTCGCGAAGTTATTATTGCTGCATAATACACAATTTCTACTCATGTTAAAAAGTAAGAGTAAGAAATAGTTGCTAACTGAACAAAAGAAATTTTATTGTAAATTAGCAAAATAATGTTAAGTTCCATAGAATTTTATTCAAGCATTTTTATAGTAGTGTTCATGTACCTACCTATGAAATTTTGTT